GCGCAAGCGCACGCGCACCCGGATCCGCTCCCGGACCCGCACCCGCACCCGCACCCGCACCCGGACCCGCACCCGCACCCGCACCCGCACCCGCACCCGCACCCGCACCCGCACCCACCCGCACCCACCCGCACCCATCCGCACACCCGCACACCCGCACAATCGAACACCCGCATACCCGCATACCCGCACACCCGCACCCACCCGCACACCCGCTCACACGCACACACGCGCACACGCACACACGCACACATGCACACGCGCACGCGCGCACACGCACACACGCGCACACACACGTTTTGCGTCCGCGGCAAGGCAGACTGCCACACACACACGCACACACACACACACACACGCACACGCACACACACACACACACGCACACGCACACGCACACACACACGCACACGCACACACACACACACGCACACGCACACGTACACGCACACGCACACGCACACGCACACGCACACGCACACGCACGCGTACACGCACACGCACACGCACACGCACACGCACACGCACACGCACACGCACACGCACACGCACACGCACCCGCACACGCACAAGCACAAGCACAAACACAAACACAAACACAAACACAAAGACAAAGACAAACACAACACACACAAACACAAACACAAACACAAACACAAACACAGACACAGACACAGACACAGAAACAAACACAAACGCAAGCACAAACACGAGCACAAGAGCAAACATAAACACACATACAAACACACACAAACACGAACGCGAACACCAACACCATCACAAACATAAACACACACATGAACACAAGCACAACCACAAGCACAATCACAAGCACAAGCACAGACACAAACACAAACACAACAACACAAACGCAAACACAAACACAAACACGACCACAAACACAAACACAAACCAAAAACCACAAACACAAACACACAAATACACAAACACAAACACAAGCACAAACACAAATAGAAACACACACACAAACACAAACAGAAACGCAAACACAAACACAAACACAAACACCAGCACGAGTACAAACACAAACACAAACACGCACGATCACAAACACAAACACAAACACAGACACAAGCACAAGCACAAGCACACACACGCACACATTCAAATACACTCGCAAACACAAACACACAAACACCAACACAAACACAAGCGCAACCACCAACACACAACTACAGACACAAACACAAACACACACACAAGCACAACCACAAACACAAACACACACACAAACAGCACAAACACAAACACAATCACAATCACAACCACAAACACACAAAGTCAACAGCAAACACAAACACAAACACAATCATAAGCACACATGCAACCACAAACACACACAAGCACAACCTCACACAATCGCAAACACAAACACGAACATAAACACGAACACAACACAAACTCAAGCACAACCACAACCACAACCAAAACCACAGCCACACACAAACACGAACAAGGGCACGAACACGAACACAAATACGAACACGAACACGAACACGAACACGAACACGAACGCGAACACGAACACGAACACGAACACGAACACGAACCCGAACCCGAACACGAACACGAGCACGAACACGAACAAGACCACGACTACGACCACGACCACGACCACGCACACGAACACGAACACGAACGACCACGACCACGAACACGAACACGAACACGAACACGACCACGACCACGACCACGTACACGAACACGAACACGAACACGAACACAAGCACGACCACGAACACGAACACGAACACAAGCACGAGCGCGATCGCGAACACGCACACGCACACGAACACGAACACGAACACCAACACGAACACGAACACGAAGACGAAGACGAACGCGAACACGAACACGAACCCGAACACCAACACGAACACGAACACGAACACGATTACGAACGCGAGCGCGAACACGAACACGAACACGAACACAAACACGAACACGACTACGAACACGAACAAGAACACGAACACGAACACGAACACGACCACGACCACGACCACGACCACGAACACGAACACGCACACGCACACGCACACGAACACGCACACGAACACGAACACGAACACGAACACGAACGCGAATGCGGATGCGAATGCGAACGCGAACGCGAACGCGTACACGAACACGAACACGAACACAAGCACGAGCACGAACGCGAGCACGAACGCGAACGCGAACACGAACACGAACACGAACACGAACACCAACACGAACACGAACAGGAACACGAACACGAACACGAACACGACGATGAAGACGAAGACGAAGCCGAAGACGAAGACGAATACGAACAGACGATGATGAAGACGAAGACGAAGACGAAGACGAAGACAAAGACGAACATGAACACGAACACGAACACGAACATGAACACGAATGCGAATGCGAATGCGAATACGAATACGAGCACGAGCACGAACACGAACACGAACACGAACACGAGGAGCACGCGCACGAACACATGCGCGCGCACGCGCACGCGCACGCGCACGCGCACGCGCACGCGCACGCGCACGCGCACGCACACGCACACGCACACGCACACGCACACGCACACGCACACGCACACGCACACGCACACGCACACACACACGCACGCGCACGTGCATGCGCACACGCACACGCACACGCACACGCACACGCACGCGCATGCGCACACGCACACGCACACGCACGCGCGCGCGCACACGCACACTCACAGGCACACACACACACACACGCATTCACGTTCACACGCACACGCACACGCACACGCAATCACTCACACACACACACACCACACCACACCACACCACACACATACACACATACGCGCACCCATAGTCAAAGCCACCCTCCGACCACCTCATCATAGGTATGGGTGCCCAGACCTGCGATGTCCTAATTTTTCCAGTGCGTGGTCCTCGGGAGTCCCGACCCATTTCCGGGCCCAGTTTGACATTCCGTGTCTTTTTTGTTGACGCTCCCGGGACCCGGCCAGGGCCCCCGGAGTCCGAGATTAATAACAAAGTTCTGCAATGCCCTTTTCACAACTCTAGCAGATGTCTGGGGTTGTTCGCTCGTCACCCCGAGGCTGGAGGTCGCCAGGCAGACGCGTGGCCGACCCTCGCGCGCTCTGTCGGTATAGCCGACACGGGTACGGAAAGGGAGTGGGCACGAAGGCCGACAGCAGTACCCCTTCATTTTGGACAGGACTCGCGCTGTCGGTGTCGCTGCGGACGTTGCCCATCTGAGACGGAAGGCCGTCTGCCCACCCGGCGGCCGCTGTCGGTGTCGGGCAACCCTTGTTGTTGGGCTGTGAGTCGGAAATTGGAACATATACATGACCAGTGGGGGGCCGTTTTTGCAATCCTACGACTTTTCGAGGGTCGGGGACGACGTCGGGGTGGTCTGGTGTATACTTTTTCCCCGCTTTCGCGGGGAAACAACGAAACTTGTATACACCAGGATCCCGTATACATCAGGATCCGCGTTCCTGTGCGGACCTCAGCGCAGGGTCGGAAAAAACGTCGATGTGTAGAGTTCCTTTCCCTGCTGAGTGCGGTTTTTCCACATCCCAGGCCTCTCCGCCAGCGCGCTCTCGCCCCGACGCTCGCCTACTGTGCCCCAGTCAGTTTGCCATTGCGCCGCAGTGCTCTCTGACCGCTTCTTGGAGGAAGAGTTGTTGAGCATCGTATCGGCGATCGAGGTTCGACCCGTACCCTGCGGTTGCCCTCCCATTCTGGGCTTACGTCGGGCATGTCCCTTCTGCAGGAAGAATTTCCAAGAACAGTTCAAACTAGTCAGGTGGCGGAATTTCGGCCTCGTATGATTATGCAAAGATATTGTTTGGCCATCTTTGATTCTGCCTCCAAAATCCGCCTGTGGGAGGATGTGCCCGACACAACTCCGGGCGCCAGGTGCAGCCGGGTGTGGATAAAACAACGAAGCCGCAGAGGCTAGAATTAAGTCGGGCCTGTTCTCTACAGGAGGAATCTTCAAGAATAGTCACCAAATAGTTTGGGGCCTCGCGAGGAACCCTCGGAGGCCTCGCGTGCGCCGTTCTGGGGATCCTTGGCTCGTCTTGAGAGTCCATGTTGCATTAGGTACTTGCTTCTCTCATCCCGCCGGCCCATCTTGCACCACTGTGGTGTGCCCATGGCGGGCGAGAAGGAGGATGGGGGATTCGATATGGGAGGAGGAGGAGGAGGAGGAGGAGGAGGAGGAGGAGGAGGATTCCTTTCCACGCCTTCCTGTGGGAGCCGTCCGTGGATCCGTCTTGGGGCGCCTGGAGGTCAGCCTTTGGGGCCCCTCCTGCCCGGTTGTGCCCACCCTTTCCCTACCCACCCCGAGACTCGGGTCGGGCGAAAGGGGGGGATTGGGAAAGGGGGGGTTACGAAATTTGCTGCATGCAGCTGGTTTCGGCCTCACCGAGGGGCCAATTCCTCGATACATGGCCGCTCCCGGCGCCGGGAGGCGCCGGGAAAATCAGCTACGTGAGCTGATTCTCAAACCCCCCCTTTGCTATCCCCCCCTTTCGCCCGACCCGAGAGACACACACGGGTCGCCGAGCGCGCAGGGCTCGCGCCGCAGCGGCTCGGCCCCCGCGGGGTCGCTGCCAGGGGCGCGCCGGGCGGCCGCGCGCCGCAGGGCGGCCAGGCTCGACGCGCCCGCGCCGACCTCGCTGCCGGCGGGGCCAGTCGGGCGGGCGTTAGGCGGAGGCGGGGGCGAAGAGGCCCCGGGGGCCCCTCGGGCGGGTGCTCGTCGGAGGCGGGACCACGCGGGCGGGTGTGCATGGGAGGCGGGGGCAGGCGTTCCTCGGAGGCGGTGTCAGTCGGAGGCGGGGCCATGCGGGCGGGTGCCAAGCGGGGCGGGCATTGCACGCATTCGCCGGGAAGCCTCGTCGGAGGCATGGGCCGTCGGCGCCGCTGGATGCATGCACTGCTCTCCCCCAGGCTATTCGCCCCTCTCGTCGCCCCCTAACGCCCGCCAGAGCCATGCTGGGGCTCGGGTGGATCTTCGGGCAGGACGGGCGTTGCTGCCCCTATACAGGGGTCAGAGGAGGAGGAGCATGTACCCATACTGATGCCCGATGTCCTCGCCTCGTTCCGCCCCTTTCTGGGCCTCCTCTGGAACGGGCTCGAAATCCTGGTCAGACCGCACCTTGGGAGATGCCCAGGGAGTAGCGGTAAGGGTGCCCATCTCTTCGCATCGAGGGAACCGGCATGGGGACCGTGACCAACGCCGCAGGAGTTTGTCGGCTCCGATCTTGGTCAGGGTTCACGTCGGCCGTCGCCGCTTCGCGTGGGATGATATGCGAATTGTCCGATTTTGATGATTCCGATTTTGATCAATTACCACTACCATAGGCAGGAGAGGGAGGATGAGCAGGAGGAGGGGGTGGAGGGGGAGGAGGAGGAGGAGGAGGAGGAGGAGGAGGAGGAGGAGGAGGAGGAGGAGGAGAACCAGGACCAGGATAAGGAGGAGGAGGAGGCGGAGGAGGAGGAGGAGGAGGAGGCACGCCAACTCGATGAATCCGAGCGCGCCGAGACAGGCCCAGGGAAGAAATGGACGGGTGGAAAAGGCGAGAGAGCGCGGATCGACGAGATAAACACAGATGAAACGCAAGCGAATCACCGAAGATAAAACGCCAAGCGAATTATCGAAGACGAAGCAAGAAGACAGCGTCGTCAGATGCGAGGAGCGGACGGGGATGTCCCTTCCACTCCCCAGACAGGGTGTCTTTGCCCTGCTCCTGGGCCTTAAGGTACGTAACGCCCTTGCTGGACGCAGTATCCTGGCACGGCCCCCACAGCCCAGACTGAGGGGCCGATGGCTGGGCTCGGGCGCCACAGCGACGGCAAGACGCCAGGGAAGCCCCAGCGAGGACCACGACGTGCCCTCCAGCAGAGCTGGGCCCCACGGGGCCTTGAGCGGGGAGGGGACGGTCAGGAGGGAGAGCATCGCGGGCAACCCGGGGCCCACGGGACACCAGGCCTCCCGAGGCCTGCGCACGCCTGCTGGGCGGAGGCCCATCAGCGCGGCTGGGGGCAGAAGGCCCACCAGTCCCGTCCAGGAGCACGGGGGCCAGTCGAGGCGCCTTCAGGCCGGGCCCTCAAGGGCCTGTGGCTCCCTACGACCTTCCTTCTCCTTCCAGCCATCAAGGGGGGACGTACGGGGGCGATGGGTGGGGGGGGGCTGGCGTCGGCTGCACATGAGACACGGCCTGACCACCAGACGACCTCGGCACCTTGGCCTGCCTGCAGGCCTCCCCGATCTCCTCGTCCCTCTTACCCTCATCCGTCTGAACTCGCACCCTCTGAAAGGCCGGAGACCGCTCAAGGACCCCAAGCTCCGAGGGCGTCGCCCTAGACACCTCCAAGACACTGGCAGCATCGGGAGGGGAGACCACGAAGGAGCCCTCGACGCGCGCGCCTCCACAGGACCCAGCTCCACGGGACGGCTCCAAAGGCCTCTCCCCGCTGGAAAGCACCCAGCCCGCGGGGCCCGCCACGCTGGGCAAAGTTCCCTCGAGGCCCCAGAGGGCCGCCGCCTCGGCAACGTGACGCTCTCGGAGCCTGAGGGCCCTCGCTCCTCGGGCGGTCAGGGCGAAAGCCGCACAGCGCTCGCGTGCATACCTTTCCCCCGCCCTCCTCACTCGATGAGGACGCTCCGCAGGGGCCCGCGGCGGCGGCGCCACCTGGCAGCGGGGCTGCCCAGCACCGCGAGCGTCCCAGGCGCGCCGCGGCTCGGCGTTGCGCCTGCGCGGGGGCATGGCGCGGTCTGCGGGCACGTCGCTCTGGAACTGCAGCTTCGACGCGTTGCCAATCCAGGCAGCCACCTGCCTCGGCTTGAGCAGCGCGAGGGAGTAGCGCTCGACCACAGACTTCGGGACGTCGCGAAGCTCGCGCCCTCGCTTGGCAGCCTGGTCAGCCAAGTCATTGCAGCGTTTCTCCCAGCAGTCGTCCTTCCGATGCCCCTTGACGTACTTGAAGACAATGGGCGCTTCATCTCCTGCACAACTGCCCCCTTCCGTGATCATCAATAAGGTGGAACAGCTGCTCCCAAAGATCCACATTGTCACGTCGAGCACCGGGGCACCAGCGACGGCCCTTGCGCAGCCCGTCGATCAGCGGCTGGTAGTCAGTATGTATCCGCAGTGGTGCCACCCCAACAGGCAACATCTGAAGAACCGCGTGCACCCCTGCCCTGGCAGATATCTGGCGCGGGCCAGGTAGTGGCCCGAAAGCCGCTCCGTAGTACCGAGAATCACCAACTACCATACATCCCAATCCAGATCTAGCAGCCGCGTCCCAGTGGAGAAGCTTCGCACTATATCCGTATGTGAATACATCACCAGCGACAAATTGGTCACAAAGCGACCTCCCTGGAGCAGCCTTGTCGTAATGCCGCCGTCCAGAGTCGTCGCGTGGTTCGCAATGCTGGCAAACAAGAGTTCGGGAATAAGGCCTTCGAGTAGGAAAGATCTCCAGGAATGGTGGCTCTGGCCATGTCCAGTACTTCAGAATCCACAGCATGCTCTCGAAACTCCGCCAGGGACGGACGATGCCAGTACCGATGGTGCAAGGTCCCAACAACATCCTTACACAAGAAACAATGAGGGGAGGTGGCATGAGCATACTGGAATAACCGTTGCTGCGAGAAACGACCCCCCATAACTGCAGCGCGAACCGCCGCCTTGGCCACGGGGTCCAAACACCAACGCTTCGTCCTCCTCCTCCTCCCTCACCTTCTCCTCCTCCTGCCCCCCCCCCTCCTCCGCTCCCCGCATTCGAGAAGATTCATTCAGGGGCTACGTCAGGGGGGTCGGGAAACATCGACCTGAACTCGGCAATACATCGCCGATGGATCGGGGAGAGGCCGGCGGTATTAAATCCGCAGGTCCTGGGCAGAGAGGAGGGATTAGACCCCTGTCGGCTCTGAATGGGCGACAGGGGGGGGAGTGGGGCGACGCATCCCCCCTGAGCCGATCCCCCCCCTAACGTTGCACACGAGGTCTTGTGGGATTCCCATGTCACCGCACGGCCCGTCACCACACCGATTCGGGACCCCTGGAGCTCGCCGCGGACGTTTGGGCGCTTGTCTGGTTCTCTCAGGATGAGGCCAGCGTCGCCATTGGCGATTATGCGCCGAACGAGCTCGTGGTGGAGCTGGAGAAGGCGTGCGAGGACACCAAAGACCCGAAGCAGGGCCTGGAGCTGTACGACGAGCTCTGGAGCAAGGTGTCGGCGGCCAGGGAGAGGAGCAGCAGGCTCAAGCTGGAGAAGGAGCTGCGTGGCGAAGCGTTCGAGAGCTACGACGAGCAGGCCCTGAACCAAGGCGTCATCAAATGGCTCAAATTCGCTTTCTGCCATCAGGACGTCAAGAAATGCCCAGGGATCGGCATGGACTGGCGGAAGTCTGGGGTCGCCGTCGCGAGGACCTTCTTCGGCCTGAAGAGGGCTCGGGAGGAGCTGGCCAGAGCGGGGTTCGTGGCCCAGTTGCTGATCCTGTCGCTGCCGGAAGACGAGGACGAGGACGACGCCAATGGACGCCAGGACGACGGGCAGGAGGACACGGCTTCGGCGCGCAGGCACATGGAGCTGCAGATATATGTGGCGGAGGTGTTGGCCGAGATTGTTCAGTATGCTGAGTTCTCTGTTTATATGTGCTCGATCGCCGTGCTGAATTTCGTCTGCATCTGCCTCAACCAGGTTCCCGAGGCCATCGACTACGCCGCCAGAGTGCTCTCCAAGCTCTCGGACGACGAGAGCAACCTGGTGATTCTGATGGAGGCGTTGGGATGCAACTCCTGGGAGGTCCCATTCTGATTTTGCACTGGTCCGAAGTCCGGCTTGATCCCGCGAAATCCCGCTTAATCCAATCCGAGGCCCACTCCGGCGTAATAGCTCCCACATGGGGCCGAATCCTCCTTAGTCCTTCCGACGGAAGCCTCCCAGCAGTTGCCTTGCCTCCTTTCGGGGGAGCGTAAGACCCGGGTTTGCCGGGACTCGGGTTCGCCATCGGTTTTTGACGACCGCGACTCGGATTTTGACGAGGAGGAGTTTTGTGGGATGTCTGCAGCGGGAGGCCTCGTCAAAATGCAGGCTCGGCCTCGTCATTTTTTTGACGACCTCGTCGGGGATTTCCGAGTCCCCCGTACCCGGGTCTTACGTCTCCCCGATTAAGAGGCGTCCGTGGGCAGTGTCCTGGAGTACTTCTTCAACACGTGCAACCACAAGCGCTACTCCGAGGACGGCAGGGGCGCCGCCACGTGGCGCGGCAGCGCCTCGACCGCGGACGACCAGCTGAGGCAGCGCAGGGCCGGGTCTAAACGGTGTGTTCTTGCCGACTTCGTGGGCCGTGTTCGTTTCGACTTCGTTCTGCAGCAAAGGCGGATTGGAGACAGAGCGAGGGAACACGAACACGAATCGAAACGAACAACACCGTTCCGTTTGGGTTCACCCCTGCGAGGCAGTACAATCGGGACATATCCGCGCTGAGCGACTGTGCCCGTGTCCTCGGGACCTTGATACAGTTCAGCCACGAAGTCCGCGTGCACCTCCCCACCCTCATCGGCGTGTTCTGGGGCGCCGTGGACCCGAGCAGCCGGCGGGCGAGGAAGCCGGACGCGGCGACGGACGACGTCCGCCTCCTTGCGGAGCTTGCCAGGCTTCTCTACTGGGAGTTCAGACGAGATACCGACAACATGGAGGTGCTGCTCAACGCCGCGGAAGATTCCAGCGTGGATCACGTTCTGGAGACGCTGGCGAGGATATGGTCGAGGTGCGTCGAGATGCACATGTTCTTGACGGATAACGGAGGCGAGTTCGCTCGTGCCGTGGAGGCCGCCGCAGAGTCCGACCAGGAGCTCCCGACGCATTTGCAGCTCCGAGAGCACTTCCTGGATTCGGAGGACGAACAGGCGTACAGGAAGAAATGCCCCATTCATCCACGCGAGTTGCTTTCGAAAATACGTTACGCGAGGATGCTGTTGTGCTACATGAATTGCGCGCTCTGGATATTGCTCCCGCTGCCGCAGATTCGATGGAAGATGATTGACATGGGATGGAAAAAGTTGCACTACGCCTTCGACCTCCAGGACGAGGTCAACCTGAGGACTGTTCTTGCAACCGTCAGGTTTGTTGTCGACATGCCGCACTCCCTGACTTGCCACGACTTCCTTGACTTCTTTGCGGACCAATTGATAATAATCCGTAAGGGCTTCGCCCCATGCCACCGGCTCCCTGTCTCGGATAACGGGAGATGCAAGAGCTAAATCATGAGGTCTGGGCGCCGCCGTGAAGCAGTGTCGGCACCTGTTTGTTTTTCGACCCTGACCCTGCGGATCTGCGTCACGGGTGCCACCGAATTTCAGTAATGTGGCAAATCTTTAGTGTTTTTGGACCCTGACACCCTGCCGATCTTCGTTAGGGGTGCCGCCGAATTTCAGTGAATGTGGCAAATCCCATGTGTTTTTGGACCCTGACCCTGCCGATCTGCGTGAGGGGTGCCGCCGAATTGCATAAATGTGGCGAATCCCTTTTGTTTTTGGACCCTGACCCTGCCGATCTTCGTGAGGGGTGTCACCGAATTTCAGTAATGTGGCAAATCCCATGTGTTTTTGGACCCTGACCCGCCGATCTGCGTTAGGGGTACCATCGAATTTCAGAAATGTTGCAAATCCAATGTGTTTTTGGAGTCTGACCCGCCGATCTGCGTGAGTGGTGTTACTGGATTTCAATGATATATAAATTGCATATGTTTTTGGACCCTGACCCGCCGATCTGCCTGAGGGGTGCCACCGGATGTCAGACATGTTGCAAATCCCATATGTTTTTGGACCCTGACCCCGCCGATCTGGGTGAGGGGTGCCAGCAAATTTCAGAACTGTGGCAAATCCCTTGTGTTTTTGGACCCTGACCCAGCCGATGTGCGTGAGGGGGAGCCACCGAATTTCAGACATGTGGCAAATCCCTTGTGTTTTTGGACCCTGACCCCGCCGATCTGTGTGAGGGGTGTCAATTTTTACCCCCCCAGAAGTTCTGAGAACCCTCCCAGGGCGTGGTAAAAATGCCCGTTTTGGGCCTCCCCCCCTCGCGCGGTGCATCAACAAGGAACGGTAAGCAGCAAGAAGCAGAATTGTAACAGTGGAAACTGGAAGCTGCAACTGGTACAGGAGACTGCGAAGCTTCGCCCTACAGCCTGGTGGCCCCACAAGGGGGGCGGCGGATACTGGACAACGAGCTGGAAGTCGATCACCTGGTCATGGGCGAAGGAGACATCATGCTCTTCCTGGACGCCCTTTCGGTCCTGGCTCTGCAGCGGGGCATGCAGCTGAAGCTCGCGTCGCACGACCTCTACAACAAGCTCCAGCTGCTGCTCGCACAGGTCCTGGCATCGCTCGGACGTGTGCGTTTTTTCTTCGGCGAGGACCATCGAGGAGCATCCTTGACCATTCGGCGAAAAAACCACACACACGAAACCGACAAAAAACACAGGAAATGGACGTCCGAGCGATGGCCAGAGGTCGAGCAGAAGCTCGTGGGCGCCAGCCCCGAGGTGCTGCACGCCATCGAGTTCGCCGCCCTGCGCGCGGCGGCCCAGGTTCAGGAGGGGACAAAACACACAGACACAACGAATCGTCGATTCCCTAGGAAAATATGGGAAAATATGGGAAGTGGGCGGGAAGACAAAAACCGAGAAAATATGGGAAAATATGTGGAATCTTTTTATTTGTGTGTATTTATTTGTGTGTCCTGGGGCCCCTTCACAGGTGGCCGTGCACCCCGCCCACCGGCTCAGCTGGATAGGGCCCACGGTGCCCTACCCGGACCCGGAGCTGTTCGGAGTCGCCCTCCGGCGATACCTCAAGCAAGGCAACGACAGCGCGAGGACGATCGCGTCCCTGCTGCTGACGATCCAGAGCGAGAAGTTTGACGGGCCCGTGGGGGAGTACGAAGCGACCTTCCGGTCCATCCTGACCTGGTGGCGCGCCAACTCCACCGCCACCTACGAAGCCACCCTCAGCGCCCAGGTGAACGAGGAGCGATGGGCCTATTTTCCACCAACACCACCACCACAAGCTGGAGGGTGGAAGGAGGCGGAGGAGGAGGAGGAGGAGGCGGAGGAGGAGGAGGAGGAGGAGGAGGAGGAGGAGGAGGAGGAAGAGGAGGAGGAGGAGGAGGAGGAGGAGGAGGAGGAGGAGGAGTGGGAGGAGACAGACCCCCTCCCTCTCCAGCACATAGTGGTGGTGGTGGTGGACAACAGGCCCCTCAAGGAGCGGGAGGGCGCCCCCGTCCCCGCGGAGCCCGCGAGCCTGCAGCAGCAGCTGGAGCTCGCGAGGAGGCGGAGGGCGGAGGGCCGCTCCCTGACCTTCCGGGCCGCCCTGCAGGCGACTGTCTTCCTGTTCCCTGTGTTGCCGATGGGCGCGGGCTCTCGCGCCCCCCCGGCCCCCCCCCCCCCCCCATTTCACGCGATCGCAGACATGGAGTGAGGGGGCGTGGATCAGCGACGGGTCCCGCTTCCATGGGGAATCGCGGATTTCCGCCGCCGGACGAGGCGGCACTGGCCGCATTTTGGGGAGGCCACCTCCCCCGATCCATGGATTTAGCGACCGCGCGCCACATCCATGGATCGCTAATCCATGTTTGCGCGTCCCCGACCATAGAGTAGATCTTGGCTGTTTTTGGCGCCCGTGTCGAGCAGGTTGAGGTTCCCACAGGACGCACTGCTGCAAACAGTCGCATGCAGCAGAGGTCCAAAGCCAGACCCCCCCCCTCCTACCGTCCCTTCCGCCCAGTGTCGAAACGCAGAAAAAGAACACGCTCACAAGGTGACGCTGCCTCACCCCAGCATCCTGGCGCTGTCGCTGTTCAGCCGCATGGCCCTCGAGCCGAGGTTCAAGCGGGTTATCCTCGAGGGCTGCGCCCTCTGCCGCAGAGTCCCCCCCCCGCCACCCCCCTCCCCCCAGGGCGAAGCCATCTTGCGGCCACCTTCTGGCCTCTCGGGGGCATCCCGAAGCCGTCTTCTGGCCTCTCGGGGGCATCTCGCGGCTTCTTTCTGGAGGGGTGGCGCTGCTGCGGCAACACATTGGGCCGTCTCGGGGGGCCTCCTTTCGGCGGCCACCTTGGGGTCTCCTGGGGGCAGCGTGAGCCCTGAGGCCGCCTGGAGCCATCCTGGGGCGCTCCAGGCAGCATGGCTGCGCCACTCAAGGCCCCATCTAGGGCATCGTGTTCAATCACTGAGGGTCTCTGGATGCTGCCTTCAACCGATATTGGGGCATCTTGCGAGCCACGCGTGGGACAACCACGCACGCGGATGGATGTGTTTGTTGCCTGCCGTCTCGGCTCGTCTCGGAGCCTCTCGCGGCAGTCGCGGGGGATCTTCGGGGCCGTCGTGGGCCATCGTGAGCAGTCGGGGGCCCCTGCGGCCTCTCGGGGCCGTCCGGATGGCCTCGTTGGCCTCCGCGGCCGCCTGGTGGTGTCCCCCGTGGAATCGCGTGTCAAACCGGCGCACCCAGGGTGCTGAGGGACCCCTCTCGAGGGGCCTCTTTCTGGCGCCGCCAGCACAGCACCCGCACCCAGCAGACGGCACAGGGAAGTCAGCACTGGAGAAGCACCAGCCAGGAGACAATACAAAGGTCGATGCCGAGAGAGAGAGGGATATATATATATATATATATAGAGAGAGAGAGAGAGAGAGAGAGAGAGAAAAAAAGAGAGAGAGAGAGAGAAAAACAAACAAAGAGACAAAGAGAGAGAGAGAGAGAGAAGAGAGCGGCAGTGCAGGCGACACCAGCAGGACCGCTGTCCAGAGGGCGCGCTCTCAGCCCGGCGCTCCCGAGGGTGCCGTCGGATCTTCGACGGGGCCCTGGAGCCGATCCTGGGCTGCGTGTGCGCGGGGCTCTGGGCCGAGGCGCGGGAGGCTGCGGCGGTAATCGCCAACCTCATGTGGATGCCGGATCTCGACCAGGAGCGGTTGTCGGGGCCTGAGAGACGGGAGTCAACGCAAACGGGGGTCAGCCAGCGCGCCCAGTCTCGCAGGATCATGCGGGGCCAGGGTCGCACTGACCCGTGTTTGGGTGCAGGATCCTGCAGGATCTTGCAGGATCCTTCGCATTGACCCGGGTTTGGACGCAAGATCTTGCAGGATCTTGCGGGTTTTTGGCAGGCCTGACTGACCCGGGTCTGGATTTACCCGGGTCAGCAGGTCCCCAAGGTTGGTGTGCTGGCTCAAGCTGGACAGTCCCGCCAGCATCGCGCTGGACGCGGCGAGCGTCCTGCTTCCGATCAAGGTGGGACCAACTAATATGCATTAGGACCAGAGGGTTGGGGCCAGACCGCGTGCTGGGGCCGAATCGGATGTATGGTTCGTTTTTTGCGTGGAGCCCACTGTTGTTCGATCAAGGTGGGCAGCCCCAGACCCGTTCCGCTGGGCAAGGGCATGTACAAGTCAATATGGGGCATCGAGTTCCTAGCGGGCTCCTGCGTCATGCTGCACCCAGACGCTCTCTGCACGGACAGGGTACCAGGCCTGCTGACCACGGCCTCCCCGCTCGACACCTGGGCGGTGGTGGGCAACGAGCCGAGCAACCAGGAGCCCTACCAGTGGTACGATCCAGGAGCACGATCCTCCTCCTCCTCCTCCTCCTCCTCCTCCTCCTCCTCCTCCTCCTCCTCCTCCAGTGGGCGCGGCCGAATTGCTTGAGGGTCCGTCGTTAACACGTGCTGTTGGGCCCGCCCGCCCACCCTCGCCTTTCCCCCCGGCGAACCTGACCCTGCAGGTTGTGCAGGTCCGCAGAGGGTGCAGTGGAAGCCAATGCCAAGAAACACCCTGCCTGCCTCCAGGGTGCCCTGGGTTTCTTTGGTCTGGATGGTCTTGCTACGGGAAGCGTGATTACACCCACAATCGATGGACTTCCTGGGTCTCAGGGTTGGGCTTCTTGTGGAAGGTTTCTTGCGGACTGGCCTCTGCCGTAGTTCTGCAGTACTGGCGCGTGCTGGCATGCGCGGGGCTGCGCAAAATCCAGGTACTCGGGCCATCGCCGAGTCATCATTCGCCTGGCGAAGGACCCAACCATGTACAGATGCGAGCACGGGCTAGCAAACGGGCTAAGGCGTGCGTGGTAAGGACGGGGCGGCGATGCAAAACAACTATCTCCAGGCATGCCAGGGCTTTCGCCGTTCGGTAGCAAATCGTGGGAGCCTTGTATGTCTTCGCCATCCTGGGCCATCCCGTCTTCAAAGTGCATCATCATCAGACAGTGTCCTGGTAATCGATGGGACGGCGCAAATGTAGCGTCGGTTCACATGCCGGTCGGCGCGGGCCCTCGCCCCCCCCAAACAAAAATAGATGGTGGCTGTTTTTGGCGTCTGCTTCGGGCAGGCGGAGTCCTTCCCCCAAGGACGCACTGCTGCCAACAGCCGCACTGAGCAGAGGCCCGGAGCCAGACCCCCCCCTTCTTCTGCCGCCCCTTTTCCGCCCAATGTCGAAACGCCGAATCTCGATATGTTCTAGACCTCCCGATCGGGTCCGTTCAGGACAGGAAACTCGAGAATTTCCAGCCGTGGCAGCGACGGGCTCTCCCTCCCCCCCCTTTCCGCTCAATGTCGCAACGCCGCATAAGAAAACGCTCACCTCCAGACAAGCCGAACTACCGGCACTTCACCATCACTTGCTGGTTCTTCTGGCCGCTGCACTCCTCCGGCCCGCTGCGGGGGCTCTCCCAGGACCCGCTCCTCAGCCGGGGGCAGGCCTGGCGGCCTGCGAAAGGGGGTGAATCGGAGGACGCGTAATGGGGGAGGAGGAGGAGGAGGAGGAGGAGGAGGA